GTTAGAATATTTTGGAAGGAGTGGGCATTTTGCATGAAAGCATTCATGAGATGCACTGGAAAAAGTTAGATAGGGTGATCTTAAAGCTAGACTTTGAGAAAGCCTACGACAAGGTGAAATACTCCTTTTTACAATAGACGTTTAGAATGAATGGCTTTTCACCAGTGTAGTGCAATTGGATTCATCAAATTGAGGGGAGATAGGTAAAGTAAATGAGGTAGGACATTTCTTCCAAACTAAGAAAGGATTAAACAAGGCGATCCCTTGTCTCCCATATCATCTTGTTTAACCTTGTTGCAGATATGCTAGCAACCTTGATTTTTTGGGCTAAGACTAATGGAAAATTCACGGAAGTTGTCCCTCATCCGGTAGAGGATGGATTGTCTATTCTCCAATATGCTGCTGACACCATTCTGTTTATGGATCATGACACGCTCCAAGCCAAAGAACTCAAGGTAGTGCTTAATACCTTTGAGCAATTATCGGGGCTAAAAATAATTTTCACAAAAGTGAGCTATTTTGTTATGGAGCAGCCAAGGACTATGAACAAGAGTATGCAAGATTGTTTGGGTGCAAGCTAGTTGGGAGGCTTCCCTTTTAGTTATCTAGGTGTACCTATGAATCTTAAGAAATTATCGAACAAGGATTCTGCCTTCATGGAGGAGAAGTTCTAGAAAAAACTCAGTAGTTGGAAAGGAAAATTACTCTCGGTTAGTGGGAGATTAGTCTTGATTAACTCGGTGCTAACTAGTTTGTCTATATTCATGTTATATTTTTTAAGTCCCTAGAGGAGTCCTTCAAAAATTAGATTACTATCTCTCTCATTTTTTCTGGCAATGTGACAAACATAAAAAGATCATCTCGCAAGAAGGAGTATTCTCTATAGGACGAAAGATTTTGGTGGACTGGGCATACAAAACCTAGATATTAAAAATAGATGTCTCCTAACCTAATGGTTGTTTATAAGTTTATTAATTAATGAGTATGAGGTTTGGCAAAATCTTCTAAGAAAGAAAGACATGTCTAACAAATCTCTAACGCAAGTGAACACAGCCAGGAGACTCTCATTTTTGGGCTGTCCCGATGAAGATCAAGGATGATTTTTTAGCATATGGATTTTTCAAAGTGCAAAGTGGGACACAAATCAGATTTTGAGAGGACATGTGGTTATGAGACAAACCTTTTACAGAGGTGTATCTCAACCTTTATAGATTAATAAGGAGGAAAGATGATACGGTGGCAAATATCCTATGGATCCACTTAATGTGTCATTTAGGAGAGGCTTGGTTGAATTTCTGACCTCTTGGTTTGACTTGGTGTAAAAAGTAGTCCTGGTTAACCTCATAAATGGGAAGGATATGTTTAGGTGGAAACTTAGTAAGAATGGCATATTCACAGTCCATTCCATGTATAAGACAATGATTCGACGAGTTGTTCTCTTGGAAAAAGCCCACTCTAAAAATTGAGGGTACCATTGAAAATTAAAATTTTCCTCTAGTACTTACAAAAGGGTGACAACTTAGCAAAAAGAAATTAGCAAGGAAGTGTCAAGCGTTGTTTCTGTTAGGAGCGGATGTGCTTTGTTGGGCTTTATGGTTGAATAGAAATAATATGGTATTTAACACGGCTAAATCTAATACTTATTTGTAGGTAGTTTTTTGGGTGACATACTGGATCCTCTAGTGGTCCCTGATGTATAAGGAGGAGGAGCGACCATTGTTAAGGCGTGGTTGCAAAAACTTGGAGACATTGATTATGACGGTCTTCGCAAAGTTTGGATGGTGCTTACGGAATCGAATTGAAGCTTAGTCTTAGTTCTTTTCCAAGTGTTAGTCGTTCACCCAGGTTGGGCTGAACTTTGTTGCTTTTTCCCTATTTTGGATGTGAGAGTTTGAGCCACATGGCTTTGGTTTGTGTTTTGTCTCTCAATTGTGTATCATCTTCGGATGGTAGAGGCAAGAACCTCGTTCCATTATCTAAAAAAAATCTTAGCACACATCTTAGTCCTAGTAATGGAATCAGCATCAAAATCATACATAATCATGCACATGGATATAAGATCCTCACAAGATGATTTATTGTTTGACTACCCCTGTGGTTTACTAGTTTATGTTACTATCATAGTCAGATGAACATGTTGTGATATTGTATTTGCACCACTCATTTTTCATGGATCAAGGGACTCACGGGGTGTAGTAAAAGAACAAAAATGAAACAATGCAAAAAAAATGGTTATATATTTAGGTTTGCTTTTCCTTTTTCTAGTTAAAAAATACTTAGTATAGGTTCTAGTTTTCATAATCATACTAACTGTATGAACCGCTTGATTAGTGCGCTAACATATATAGTTTAGTGTAATTTTGAACCCTGTTTGACACAATCTCCTGTTGGTTAAGAAAAAAGCATGGCCAAAATATCTGATCTGTTTGGCAAACTACGGGCAAGATGACCTTTTCCTTTTTGTTTTCAGCATGGAAAGTAGGCTCCTGAAATAAGTTAGACAGAAAAGAAAAGATCAATAGACGAGGACTTGATGCCCCGATCTAGATCACGAATCCCTCTTTGAATCTTTTGCGCTGCCCACATTGCTTCTGCCAAAGAGAAAAGCGTGAAGCAATGGGTATTTGATATTGTTTTTATATCATCGCCGCCTTTTTTATAAATGTTTTCCCATGGACCAGAGCTGCTGATTCACAAATATTCCACATAAACCAACCAAAATATTATGGTAATTTAGGTTTGGTTTTCCTTTTGCTCTTGGTTGTTTTGGGTTTTAGTTTTCAGAAAACAAAATTATTAAAATTTAAAAACAAACAAACAAACAAAAGGAATAATATATAATGACCATATATTATGAACTAGTCCAATAACGCACCAACTGAAAAAAATTTGGTAACCATTTGTCATGGCCTCGCGGTGGTTCGTCCAAAAAAAAAGATACGTGATGACAAGACATCTGATTCAGTATCTCACCCACTACGGTGTACTCCACTGTACCAAAAAAAATCTGATCTAGTTTGGGTGCTTGCTTTGTGCAAGTTGATCCATCTCTTCCGTTCCAGGTCGAAAAGCATGTTTGCTCTAGGACAAGTTCGTTGGATTCCAGGATAAGTTTGAGACAAAGAAAAGACGGACAAAAAAGAGATGAACTCGATCGATCATCCCAAACCCAAACCATGACCGAATCTTTTGCGCTGCTACCATTCGTGCCGGCAAAGAGGACGAAAGCTCCAGCTGAACGAAGCAAAATAGCAAGCAGGTCAGTCTCTCTTTATCGCTTATCTCATTGCATATGTTGGAAGCGGTCATTCCGCGCCGCTCGCTCTTGCCCATCGCGCTCGCCATCCCACGCCGCTTGCTCTTGCCCGTTGCGCGCGCCGCCAGCCCAGCCGAGCCGAGCTTGGTGCTGCTAGCGGTGGTGGTGGTGGTGCTTGTGCGGCGCCGGCTCCGACCCCGGCGGTTGGAATCGTCCGGTCCCGGGACCTCCATGTTGCAAGCGCATATTTTAAGTGTTTCAGATGTTTCGTAGATATGTTTCAAGTGTTTCATACGGATGTTGCAGAAATATATCGGGATGTTGTTGCATATGTTGCAATGATTATATACGTATGTTGCACGTGTCTGTTCCCTATGTTTCATCTATTTTTTTAGACTATGTTGCTAGTGTTTATCTGAATGTTGCATATGTTTCATCCATATGTTGCGAGTGTTTTTTTTGATGTTGCATATGTTTGCAATTGTTTTTCAAGTATTTTTCATGTGTTTCAGGCGCATGTTTCGAATGTTGTAGCTATTTCGTACATATATTGCAATTGTTTTATTTAAAAGCTTGAAAAGTAGATTTGTGGTGTTGTGCATGTTGCAATGTGAGCCGCTTGCCGCAGATGTCTGCTGCGGCTTCTAGGACGCCGTGCATGGAGAGGAGTGGCGCGGGAAGCTAGGAAGCGTGGGGGAGTAGTGCCAGTGGGCCCGCCTGTTCGTGCAACAACGATCGATCATCCCAAACCCAAACCACGATCGAATCTTTTGCGCTGCTACCGGCAAAGAGGAAGAAAGCTCCAGCTGAACGAAGCAAAGCAACAAGCAGGCCAGTCTTTCCCGCTTATCTCATTGCACCCCGAGATGCGATATCTCCGACGTGGCGAGCCGGCACTGGTCCCTCGTATACGGAATCCGGATTCTCGCGGGCCCCCAGCGTGTTATCCTGCTCGCTCCGACGTAGCCGGCCGGCGTACATACGTCGAGGTCTGCCGCTCCGGCGGCGTAGGGCCGGACGGAACCAAGGTGCGCCGCTCGTTCATTCGCGCGCGCGGACGCCGCCGGAGACCGAGACCGGCCGGCCGGCGCATAATCCAAAGCCCCGGCAGGCTAGTTGCGCCTCGTACTCTTGTGCTGCTGCTGAAAGCGAGCTCCCTGCTCGTACCTATTCGCGTGCTCGGATGAGACGCCGTTTTCGTACGCTGACGCGTGCGTGGAATTGGCGAATGCGTCGCTCTTCTTGCAGATGCAGAAGCACCGAGGAAATCTGTAATCTGGAAACGGAAAAGCGCTGCGTGCCGCCTTTAGTTCGCGTCGAGACATGGAAATGTTGCCGTCGAGACGGAGGCCTGTCTGCTCGTCTCGTCCAAGAGCAACGAGACCCGGGCCACAGCACATCAAGCAGTGGCCACCAGTTGAGTTCGTTGCCGAGAAAAACGATGACGACGACATTCCAAGCCCCAACTTTCAAGCGGTTTTTGTTTTCCGCTCAATCGCTGACCCAATAAAACACCAGCCATGTAAAAAATGAGTATCCAATCAGATCTTTTCTTTTTCCAAATCCATTTCTGGTACTGGTACTAACGAAAATAAGAATGCCATGAAAAAAAGAGGCCAGAAAGCTCGAGAGCCGGCAAGGAGCAGTAGTGAACAACTGGAACTGGAATCTCTCTATATATGAGAGGGATCGGCAGAAGACTGCTTCGTCACAGGACTGCTTCGGCAGGATACTAGGCCGCTGCATGCCCCCGCTCTGGTACTTGCTCTCCTTCCCTGATCCTGCTCCTCCTTGTACGGAAGCCGCCGCGAGCTACAGCACCTCATCGTCACGCGTGCCTGCTGCTTCCATCACCATGGACATCACCAGACAGCAGTGGTATGTATGCTGTATGCATCTCATGATAGCTTCTCTTCTTCAATTATTCAGAGGTGAACGCTAGCTTGCTGTGATGCTGATCGTACCCTCGTGTGCGTGTGTTTGTGTTGGGCTACAGCAGCAAGGTGTCGTCCCTGGAGATGGAGATCCCTGCTGATCTCATCATCCGCATCGGCAACTCCATTTTCCCTCTCCACAAGGTACGGTCATGGTGAAACAATCCAATCCCCTGGAGATCGATGTCGATCATGGCGGAGAAACATAACCTACTCTATCTCTGTGAATTTATGATTCATCTCAACAAAAAAAGAAACATCAAACGATTGATCAGGAGATCACTACACCTAGAAGATCAAACTTTGTTTTGATCTGTGATTCTTCCTCTTCTTTTTCCTATTTTTTTTAAAAAAGGATTTTTGATCAATACTGCAAAGAAAAAACGATCATGGACTGACGTGAACGGACTTTGCTTGAACGTGCACCCAGGCGGTGATGGTGCCCAAGTGCAGCTACATCCGCCGTGCCGTCGCGGCGGCGACCACCAGCAGCAAGGGCGACGCCGACGACGACGCCCCCAAGCCCCCCGTCGTCGAGCTGGACCTCTCCGCGCTCCCAGGCGGCGCGGACGCGTTCGAGAAAGCCGCGAGGTACTGCTACGGCGCCAACTTCGAGATCACGCCTGCCAACGCGGCGGCGCTACGATGCGCCGCGGCGTTCCTCGACATGCGCCACCCATCGGCGGACCTAGCCCGGCGCGTGGACGAGTTCCTCGCGCGGTCGGGGCTCCGCACGCTGCCCGGCGCCGTCGCGGTCCTCCGCTCCTGCGAGGCGCCCGACGACGACCTCCTCCGGGACGCCGCCGAGCAGCTCGGCGTCGCGCACCGCGCCGCGGACGCCGTCGCGCTCGGGGTCTGCCGCGAGGCGCTGTTCCCGACGACCAATTCGTCGTCGTCGCGGCCGCCCGGGTGGTGGAAGGCGGAGCTGGCGGCGCTGTCGCCGCGCTTGTTCGGGCGAGTCGTCACGGCGCTGCGGTGCCGCCGCGCGGACCCCGCCGTGGTGGCCGCCGCGGCGGGGAGCTACGCGGAGCTTGTCCTCGCCGAGGTCCTCGCGGCGCCGCAGGACTGCGCGGACCAGCGCGCCCTGCTCGAGTCCGTCGTCGACGTGCTCCCGTCGCCCGCCGACGGGGTCGGCATCCCGGCGGCGTTCCTCTGCCGCCTCCTCCACGCCGCCGTCGCCACCGAGGCGTCCGCCAAGGCGTGCCGCGACCTCGAGCTCCGCGTCGCGGCGGTGCTAGATCAGGCCACCGCAGAGGACCTGCTCGGCTTCGCGCTCGACGCCGCCGGGGAGCGCGTCAGGAACACCGACACAGTGCGACGCGTCGTCACCGCTTTCGTCGAGCGGCAGCGGCAGGCGGCGGCGCCGGAGAGCGAGCGGAGGAGGAGACGCCGGGCGTCCATGTCCGGGACGACGGCGGCGACAGAGCTCGGTGCCGGGACTGCCGGCGCGCTGGAGAAGGTCGCTAGGACGGTGGACGAGGTGGCGGCGGAGATCGCGACGGAGGAGGCCCTGCCCATCTCCAAGTTCGTCGGCGTGGCCGGGGCCGTGCCCAAGGACGCGCGCCCGTCGCACGACTGCCTGTACCGCGCCGTCGACATCTACCTAAAGACGCACCCGGCGCTGGACGAGATCCAGCGGGAGAAGGTCTGCAGCGTCATGGACCCGCTCAAGCTCTCGTACCAGGCGCGCCTCCACGCGTCGCAGAACAAGCGCCTGCCGCTGCAGGCCGTGCTCAGCGCGCTCTACTACGACCAGCTCAAGCTCCGCAGCGCCGACGCCGCCGCCGCGACGTCGATGGGCGACGTGGTGGCGGACACGCAGTCGTCGTCGGCTGCCGGGAGAGCTCGCGCGCAGGCCATGGCGGACGCGGCGCTGGCGCGGGAGAACGAGGCGCTGCGGTTGGAGCTGGCACGGATGCGGGCCTACATGTCGGAGATGCAGCACAGCAAGGGGAGCGGGTCGTCACCGTCCCGGACGGCGAAGAAAGCGACCTTCTTGGGGTCGGAGCTGGCACGGATGCGGGCTTACATGTCAGGGATGCACCACAGCAAGGGGAGCGGGTTGACGCCGCCGTCGTCACCGTCCCGGACGGCGAAGAAAGCGAGCTTCTTGGGGTCGGTGTCCCGGTCGCTGAGCCGGCTGAACCCGTTCAAAGGCGGGTGGACGACAAACCACACGGGCAGCATCGCCGCCGGTGGGCGCCAGTGCAAAACGATGCACCATCACCATGTGGTCACGCCCAAGAGGAGAAGGTCCTCCATAGGTTAATCATGACACTATGGTCTGTGCAATTTTTAGGAGAGCGTGTGCATATGGCTTGTAGTTCCATTATTATTGTGTGTGTGTTTTAATTTATTATTGTACTAATATATATGAATGTGTGCCTTTTCCAAAAAGAAAAATGAATGTGTGTAGTATGAAGTGGCTTGCTAAAAAAAACTAAAATTACATGTTCGTATCAGTCATCAAATTTATCTTTTCTTTCGTCTTTATTTGCCACAAGCACGAGGAGCTTAATTTTCTGTTTTTCATGTAATTCATGGGACAAGTTAAATCATCTAGAAATTCTTTAGGGCGTGTTTGGATCGGATTATAAAATCCGGATTCTGGATAAAAATAATCTCTGGATTTTTTGGATTACGTGTTTGTGTGTAAGAATTCTCTAGAATCCTATGCTGTTTGGAAGAGATTTTGGGATTATGAGATTTTTTTATCCGGATTCTTAGAATCCCTAGAGATCCAAACGACACCTTAGGCATCATGTATTACCTTTGCCACAAACCCGAGGAGCTTGATCTTTTGAATTTCATGTGAAATCATTGTACATATTTTAAATCCTTAGGTATGGTCTTATTTGACACTGAGTCATCTCTTTCAGCTGATGTAAAGTGGACATCATATTGACAATGGCAACTCATGTACATCATTTGAGAGGCAGAGAGAATAAGTTACAGTACTTATTTTTTCCCCATTGCCAAGTACTTGTATTTTACAAATTTGAATAGATTGATCACTTTCTTATAGCGGGTGTTTTAAAAAAAAAAACTTCAATATTAAAAATGTTTTGTTTTCTTATTACTTTTTACATCAAAAGATGGTTTCAATTGCAACTTTGAAACACCATTTATTCCAAGGTGAAGACTCAATAACCCTCCCAACAACAATAACCTATTTTCTCTAGGTTTATTTTTAACCTTTATACTTCACTATTTTATTTCTTCATTTTATTTGACATCAAAAGATAATTTTAATTGTACCTTTGAATTTTTAAGTCAATTTTAAACCTTCAACTGCATGAGGATGCAACCAAGATGGCTTCATTTTATCTTAATCATGACATGAAATCATGAATAGCTAATAGAAAAACAAGTGTACCTGTATTTTTTATTAACTAATGAATTTTTTTATTAACTATTATTCTATCACCCTAGAAAAAAAATACCGTTGTTCTGCCGTTAAATAACATAAGTTCAAAAATTGTAGGGTGATAGAGAACACCATAACTTTTATAAGAAAAAGTACATTATGAATTTTTTATTTTTAGTTTGTATAACTTAAGCATCTAAAAATCAATTAGTTTACATATACGAAATTATGCAAAAACTCATGATGAAAAAATTCATAATGTATCTTTTAATATATTTTATGATATTTGCTATCATCCTATAAACTTTAAACTTGAAACTCAACTTCACTGAGAAATAGAAAAACCTTAAGGTGTAGATTGTATTGATTGAAAGATCTAGAGGGGTAAATTAAATACAAATTAGTTTGGGGTTTATCCCGACAACGTTTTTATGAAGGAAGTAATATGGAGCTTTTCCTTTTTCTTTTTTTTTCTCCATCTACAAGTTGAGTTTTATGTTAGAACTATAATAGGTGATAGTGAACATCATAACTTATGTTTAAAAATGCACCATGAATTTATTATTATTACTTTGATAATTTAGAATATCTACCAATAAATTGACTCTAGAGATACATAATTATAAATGTTTAAAAAGTGTAATTTATTTTTAACATAAGTTATGATGTGTGCTTACTTCAAGAAATTTATTTAAAACTCAACTTGTACATGCAGAAAAAAGACAAATCTATTAAATGGTATATTAAACCATCTTAATAGTTGGAAGGGTAAATCAAACAAAAGACGAGGTTAAAGGGTTATTATCATGACACATACGGGAGTAATTTGGACTTTATTTTAATCAATTAATAAAAAAAGATGAAGCAGAGGGAAATTTGCTAACAATGTTGAAACCAGGTCCATTAAAAACCAGCCAACATTTGGCACGCCCTTTGGCCTTTGCATCCATCCTACTCGGCTACTTATCACATTCATTCCCCTAACCGCGCATCCCCCGACGGAAGCGCGAAAACGGCGAGTTCAGGAGCTCTCTTCCCCTTGGGTTCCCTCCTCCCTCCTTCCTTTAATCTCATCCCTGGTATTCGATTCCTCCTCCATGCCATGTCCAACACATAAATGCCGGTTCTGGTTCTGATGTGCCTTCCCTTCAGACATCCTCAAGGCTTCAGCGTCTCCATATAATCTCTGGACCAAGGTTTTTAATTTCGGTATCGCCAAAATTTCGGCCACCACCGAAATTATAGAATTTCGCAAAATTCGGCCGAAATTTTTTTAGAGATTAGCATCTGAAGTATGTTTTTTCTAAAATTTTTTGGATCTAAACAAATATTAGTATGATTTATGACTACATATCTATTAAATAGAAGAATATGCAATATAAACAATAGAAAAATATAAGATTAGAGTTATATAGCACATGTATTAGTGTATTAAAAAATTTCAGAGTTTTCTTTCGGCCACCACCGAAATTACCGAATTTCGTGAAATTCGGCCGAAATTTTGCCGAAATTTTGAACCCTGCTCTGGACAATCTTTCGTTGTTCGCTGCAGACTTTGGTTCGTTTCTTGTTCCTGTTGAGGGCTTCTGAAGATCCGTCCTGATATAACCGAAAAGTGAGATCCTCTGTTTGGCTAAGCATTGGTCTCCTGCTATTCTGCTTCCATTCCATTTCCATGCCCACCAGGTGTTTGTTTCTATGCCTACACGCCTACGAGTATTTCCTTGTTTTGTTCTTCGTCTGATCATGCCTTGCTCTTGTTTGCAGCGTGGCTCAATTCCAGGGCGCATCGCCATGGTTGGACCTCCCACCAGAGCTCTTCTCTCGTGTTCCTCCGCCACCCCGTGTGCACTGACGGAGCCTCTTTTCCTGCCGTTTGCCGCACATGGCGCTCCGCGCACGACTGTGCCCCCTTCCTCCGCCATGTCCAATGCCGTGGCTGTGCTTTCTGGCGGCGACGTCATCAGCTTTTCTTGTGGTGAAACCTTCCAGTTGCCACATGGTGTGCTGCGTTCGCTACCACAAAGCTTGTGGCGAGTGGCATCTCTTACACCCCCTATGAAGAGCCTGTGAAAGTCGCTGCACATCGTATGGTCCCAGATGATGAGATGTAGGCACATGGATGGAGAACAAGGACACGGGCAAGGTAACCGTACTCTCAGGCTAGTTCTGTTCTCCATGCGCCTCGTTGCTGCCATAGTTGCGGTTGGGGCTCTTGGTACAATCGGACTGTGACAGTGTGTCTAGGGGCTGCTGCATGGTCAGTGAGCGCATGAGTGCAGGTGCCTCTCATGCATGGTGTTTTTCCAAGGGAAGATCTACGCTCTTGACATCAACATTGATCCTGAGGATCTTATTACCATTGACATTGTGGATGATCATGGCAGTGATGAGCCAAGGGTGTCTTGAATTGTGCAGCTCATTGAGGTCGCCTACTTACCACCCCGACAAAATTTCCTCTGCATGCATTACCTCCTTAAATTCCATGGCACACTGTATGATCCGCAAAAAGGTTTCTGACAAAGGAAGAAGACATACGTGGCAGTCTTGTGCCTGGTAGGCTCACTTAGAGGGTCACTTGGTCGAGGTGAGGACTTTGGAAAATGACCAAGCATTGTTCCTTAGGCGAGGGTGCTCGAGAGCTGTCCGTGTGTCTTCCTACGATCTTTCATGGGACCGCATCATCTTCCTGGATGATTACGCCAACTGGCTTTGGAAGAAAATAACTAAACCTTATGGAGTGCATGACATGAAACATGAGAATGTCTATTATTCACCCTTGCCCTTGCCCTTGCCGAAGGTACCATGGGTGAGTGGAAAAGTTCCAGCACCATTAACCTGGATTTTCTCACAAGGTATACATTTTCACTCTTTTTTCTCACGCATGCTTTAGCAATAGATTAAAACAAAACAATTTGATATTTTCTCAACAAAAGAAAATTATTTCTCCTATGGCGATGAATAGTTCTACTTCCTAACCCACAAGTTTAAATGTTCAGTAGATAACTTGAGTTTTAAATCATGTAAATCACCAAAATGACAATTATGCAATTAAGAACTAGGTCGAAAGGTCCTTATTTTAGAATCCAATGAGCTGACACATGCAGGTGTGCAATGAAACATACACTTTCTTACATGTAAACTAGCCTGTGCAACGTTACCTTGCTCCATATTGAGCGATATAAGTTTCGCATTCTGATGTTTCCACAATCTAAATGTACTCAAGAATCATCCGAAGCCAAGCCACAGAGTAGAGCTGGTCATTGGACCAACGCCAGCATAGATGGTCCGGCACCCCCGGCACCAACTCAGCATTTTGGGTCAGCTGCCAAATCTGAATGTACTCAAGAATCACTTGGACGGTGAGTGGTCAGTGCCCCGGAGATGTCCCTGACCCAGGCTCTGTGCGGCAGTGTGTCCGCCACATACCAGCGGCGACGAGACGGACGCACCACGGTGAAGAGAGCCAGCACAAGTTGCTTGATGCTGCAACCATCAATCCACCTGTCCGTCCAGAAGTAGGTTGACTTGCCATTGCCAACTACCGAGAAGGTTGCCGCATCGAACACGCCCACAACCAACCTTTCCTTAGGGAGGACCGAGCGTTAGCTCGGTTGGTCCGGCTTCCAGGTGCGAAGGGACCGCTCGTGGGTTCGATTCTTGATGGACGAATTTGCTTGCCTCACCGGGGCAGGCTTCCGCCTCTCACGCGTGATGCTACGAGCCGTCGCCTACGAAATCAGGGGATTTCGGTGATCCGTGATGCCACAATGGGATCGTGACATGCCCGTCGCCTACGAAATTGGGGGATTTCGGTGATCTCAAGAAGGACGCGGTCTTCAGATCTAAGTATAGTTATAGGTTTGTTTGTACACGGGTGGTATGAGTAGTGTGCATGTGTT